TACACACTAAGCAGTGGCAAACTTCCTACACACACAACAGCTCTTACATCTATTTGTCACATATTGCAGCTATAATCTTCTATAGATTTCCTGTGTTAGAATATTCACCACATAATGTGTATAATTTTGTTAGTTTTACACTAAGTATTATGGAAAGACATAAGAACGTATTAGGTTCAACTTTGCATATGAACTGCATAATAAATAAATGGCAGGAAAAAAAATCTGAATTCGTCTAATTGCTACGCAAATTCTACCTTTAATTCAACGGAATTAAACGGCGGGATACACCCTTTCCTGCATGTAAAATACATGACGTGTAAATCGATTTCCACACAATCTGTCACGAATGGGATCCATCCTGAATGGCAAAATGTGTATGTACGAAGGTTTATAGTTCGAGATGGTGTTATTGTCCTGTTTAGGTAGTTTGTTCAACTTTTTGTCTTGCGCTTTAAATTGATGATTCACACTTTGTAGAGTGATAGTTCATGCCATTACATATTTTTAGAATCAATTTTTGAAACACGGTTACATTAAAAACATATTTTAAAAATTAATTAACCGAATCTATTTTGAAGAGCGCCCTCGCTTTTATCCTCGTATCGACGTACCTAATAATATTGCACTTTACTTTCATGTCAGCTTTTTTTCTGGTCAATATAGAGGTTTCTTTCAGCTAGATTCCTTTCGTGTGCATTCAACCTTCTTTCAAATTGGTCTTACAACTGATTGGATTCAAATGTTTGTCCCTAAACGGAAAATGTGCTTAAATAGCGCATTGTCCTTAATAATTATGTTTGCCATGTTTTGTCAATGGAGGCTTCTTGTAGTACTGCCCCCCTTTTAAATATAAGACGGATTATCTACAAACTATATTAAAACCGTGTAACAATTTAGGAAATTTATCAAGGAGAATTACAAAAAATGATTATAGATTATTGAAAATAAAATGTAGCCATGCCCATTCATTCAGTAGAATTGCCTTAGTAAGATATATTGAATGTCTTAAATCATAGATGTAATTTTAATTTTAACGGGGCATTGCAGGAAAAAGTGAAAAATAGTATTTGACAAAATATTGTGCATCAGTTTATAAAATGTACATTGTATGAGTGATGAGGGGCAGCATTGTAATGAAAAGCTTGACAATTTTGGCCCTGGAATATAGTTTTTGATTTTGTTGTTACACAAGAGGGTTTTCATGACATGCAGTGAAATCACAGGGTTATATCAATGCCCTTCTAGTTCCCAATTTGCGACATAGAGTAGAGAACACCGATGTGTTTTGAACAGCTATCATGTTTCTGTGGAGATCCAGAATATAATCTAGCTCTGAGCAGATGTTTTACTTTTCTCGGAATCTCACAGCCCTTAGTCCAAATATTTTTATTTTACTTTAGCGGCGTCCTACCGGTTTCTCGTAATATGATGGACCAGGACTTCCCTCTCCAAATCTCAACAACCCATTTCACATCAAGTCTCTCTTAATCACACCAAGGCACAGCTGTCAGCCATTATACTTAAAGTATGTGGCGTCTACACTCAGGGGCGGATCCAGCCGGCGAAAAGAGTGGGGGGGGGGGGGGGCAAATCTTGAAAAAACAATTTAGCGCCGACTAAGCCGGCCGGTGAAAAATGAAAAAAGGGGGGGGGGGGGGGGGGCTGGGTGTAGAAGCACATTTTTTTTTTTTGGTACAGTTTTAGAGGAAAAATTTAGCGCCGACTCAGCCGGCTGTTAATAAGCGGCGGAGGGGGGGGGGGGGGGGGGGGGGGGGGGGGGTAAGAGCACATATATATATATATATTTTTTTAAATATATTTTTTTGGGGCCCAATTCGTGAGAAAATATTTAGCAGCGATTCATCCAGTCGGTGAATACGCAGGGGGGGGGGGGTGTAATATATTGTTTTGGTGTGGGTGCAATTTTTTTTTTGGGGGGGGGGGGGGGGCCGCTTTTGTTTTTGTTTAACTTTTGTTTAAAAAAAGGTTAAATTTACGTTATTATCCTATTTTTTAAAACTTTTTTTTAGACTAGGGGGTGGGGGGGGGGGGGGGAGCCGGGCCCGAAAAATCGCCACGTGTATCCGCGTCTGTCTACACTGACTTAATGGCACAAACGAACAATTCAAAGACATGAAATTGCAAAAGAATAAATCTCATCCAGTTTGAAGTACATCTAGTACAATACTGATAAAATCGTTTATTAAAGATATAATTCTTCTGTCAATATTGTTAGAAGAAACACATTCTTGGTAATGATATAACGTCGGGTATTTAGGGTAGCTGAACAACAGCAAATGTAAAAACACATAGATGTTTATACAGGCAAAAAAAGTACAAATTGCATTCAGAGAAAGGATCCATCACCAAAGAAAAAAAACGAATTATAATAGGACCTACAAATGTACTCGTTATTACACATCATATGATTGCAATTAATATAAAGATGTCAATACAAGTTGATACTATGAAAGAGAGAAAAGACTAATGCACATGCCTCTCAAAAAAGACATACAAAAGACATAACCTCGCACTCATCAGAGCGAAACTGGAGAACATAGAGCCAAAATAACTATACTTCTTTAACCCTAATAAGGCCGGGCTATTTGAGGTCTTAGTACGGCCGGGGGGGGGGGCATTATGGCCCCCCCTTAAGATCTCGGCCGCGAAGCGGCCGATCGCCGCGAAAATTTGCACGCCTGTCAAGTGAAGTATATAGAATAATATGATAATTTCAATTTTTTTTTGAAAAATTCACTCATTTGCATATTTATGGTAATTTATGCAAATAAAGTCATACAAATCACATTTTTACCCATAAATCATATATTATTCATATTAAGGCATTCTTTTTCACTGCATATATTCATTAGACCATTCTGAATAATAATACGACAAAAAAATTCGGAAGAGCCAGCTTATTCCTTATGTTATCCCTTGTTTTGATAATTCATTGTTTTTGTTGTTCTATTTCATTTCTTACTACAATTCAACTATTTTGACTCCCAAAACAACCACCTTAACTTTAAACAAGACCCAATAACCCATGTCTGATCTGTTTTTAGGAAAAATGACTTTTCCATATGTTTTGTACACAAATCACGAAAATGAGCGATTTTCGGGCTGACATGCAAAGACAAAAGGTCACGTGACCTTGTAACCGTAGGTCCGATTTTCAAAAAAATTCTTTTAAAAGTTGCGCAAGACTTGAAAGAAAAAAGTCAGCGAGCGGCGGGGCGCCATCCATATGCGTTCACAAGCAATTGGAAAAATCGTGGAGGGGGGGGGGGGCATAATGCCCCCCCCCGGCCTTATTAGGGTTAAGATCCTTTCCTATCCAATCCAACAAGTCTGAAAATTTGAGACAAAAGGCATCTTTATGTAATTGCTGAACTAACCCAATAACACTTTCCTCTATCGATTGATTTGCTTGAGAGGAATACCTATAGGGGGGGGGGAGGGGTATCTGAAATGATATGTGACATCCCATCAAGGAGTGAAAAGAAAAGTAAAGGAATGCAACATGACCCCTCCCACATATGCTCCAACTTGAGATTCCAGTTATCTGTCTAAACAATTAATTCAATTAATAAGAGCAGCAGCCCCCCCCCCCCCATGACATCAGTGCCCTCTCAGTAACTCAACCGATGCTAAACTATTAACACTACCGATTAATTATCAAAAACCAAGATCATGACAAGATATCAGTTGAAAAGTCTTAAACTGCCTATAACAGGAATATCAATTATTTAAGTTAAACTTACACTGTACATGCACTATGTATTTTCTGAGAAGACTGTAGGTACTTGTTTAACCTTTTCCCTCATAAAAGATAGAGAGATTATAGAAAACTTGCACACCAGAGAATTCGGAAATTTACCAGCAATTACACTTAGCTTAATTACCTAATGTGATGGGTGTATTTTTGCTACCAAAGAATACATGCCAAAATAAAATCAATATGATTTTAAAGAATTATATACATTTGAATGTGGGCAATTCAACTAAAATTGACCATGAGCCGAACTCATGAAAATTGGCAATGACTTCAAAAATTTATATTTCCTATAATGACAAATTTAGTACCAAACACAGGAAAAAAGGTATACAAATAGGAAAAAAATCACCCCGTCCTTTTCTTTGAGTAGAATAATAATATTGAAAATTGTTTACGCATGACTTTTCATTGGGTTAACATCTAGCAAGAACTTTAGTACCCCAAAAATGCTCCAAATAGAAATTGTATAGCAATTGTAAATAGTATAACCTTATATTCAAACAATTATGTTCAGAGTATAAGCTTTTGTTGATACCTAAATAAGACTTATTACTTATTGAGCTCTAAAACTCATACAGTTTTGAATTAAACCGACAATGGGTAATGAAAGAAATGAAATCCCATCGCAAACACAAATAAAAGCAGTCACAAAAAGTCAACACCACCCTCTCAGAAAATACATGCCTATAATTGTGATTTTAAAATTCTGTAATAACCGATACATTGGTTAATTGGTGTGAAAAACCTAAATACAAGCTAAACATAATGAATAAAAAGATTGATTAAAGGTAGAGACCAGTAATGGTCATGCGACTGCATTGTGAAAGAAATGTTGTGGAATCGATCAGAAAAGGTTGATCATCTAGCATCTAGCATCCGCAAAGTTCTGGAATCATCAAAATGATAAGAAATTTGGCCCATTCTTCGTAAAGTTACAAGCACTATACACAGAAAGATGTATATGGGACTACCCTATATCTCTCACACGACCACGAGAGAAACAAATTTACCAAATATATGAATTAGTAGGCGGTTTCCCGGCAAATTTTGTATCATCATGGACATGTATTAGTCAAAACATATTCTTTCACATGATTGGTAATGAGAGTTTCCATTTCATTTTTTGAAATTGGGGCGTGTCCAATACTGGTCTTTACCTTTAAAAAGATACTTCATTCTGAGATGACTCTTTTGTAATTAATCAAAATTGTAATAATAATCATAATGCATGTGAGTACTTTAATTCCTGATTTAGAGAGAAGGAGAAAAAGTACATGAGAGGGGAGGATAAAAGAATGAAGAATGGAAAAGAGAAGAATGAAAAACAATAATATGGTAAGCAAAAATAAATAAATACAAACATGACAAAGATAATTAAAATCACAGTTAGTTGTTAAGGAGTCGTACGATAAAGGGAATAATTGAAGTGCGGTGTCTCTCAGTTCTACAATAGGGTATAGTTATGTGTAGAGAGTTTCAGAGTTCATGGCAAGAGGTTTGGCGACGAGTTGGCGGTAGAACATAATTCGATCTCGTGATGACTTAAACAGTTTGAGAGAAAAGGATTCAAGAAGGGCAAGACGGCAAGAAGTTAGACTCTGGAGAGAAACGAGTGGTTTCATACAACTGTTCTTATCCAAGGATAATACAGCAGACACGTTTCTGCACTTTCTTCAGACTGCAAGATAACTGTTCGGGAAATTGATGTGGACCAAACTGGAGAAGCGTATTCTAGCGAAGATCGGATATATGTCGAGAAGATGTCTGCTAGATCTTCACATGATACTCTGAGATGTCGTAAATGTATAGTCGCTTGCCGGCACTTGATATCATATCAAACACTTGGAAATTCCATTTGAGATCTGACTGTAATATAACTCCCAGAATTGTCGGAGTGGTGCAGTTTTGGATGGCCTTGTGGTCTAGGTGCAGCATTTAAAGGGCTGGTTGGATACACTTGAGGAAAACTTACTTGGATTCGGTTTTGAACTGCTCACGTGAGTAAAATTCCTTGTCCATTACTAGCTAGTACTTCTGTACTTGTCATGTCTAGTATAGTTACACAGAGTCCAGTTTCTCTCCAACTATTCAGTTACATACTGTGCAATGCAGTGAATGCTCCTGATGGTAAAATGTATCTAAATCACTGACTGTTCTTGCCCCTTTTAATTCTCCCGCAAGATGTCTGAAATGACCATGGTTATTTCAGAATCGCATGTCTTTTCAACTGGAGTTCACCATTCTTTGGGATGTGGTGTTTTGTTTTGGGGAAACCAGGTGAATATTGCTCCACTGATAACTTTGGTCGAGCCATTTGATGCAGTGTTGAAGTTGTTCCTTTGCTAGTAGCTCTATCAAATAAAAGAAAAAAAGAGAAAAGAAAAAATTCATTAAATTTTGATAAAAAGTGAAGGAATAATGTAATAATGGATGCTGAGCTTGAGCAAAGCTGCACAGGAGATAAAAAAAAAGGGACACCAATCAGACTACTGTAAGATAATTTTTCATTTCAACACTTCGACACACATTTCCTAACGTGCTTGAGGCTCCATTTTGTTTCCTTTGCAGGACTTTATCTGTTTCAAAGTATTGCAGACTGCTAGCCTCAACTTATCTTCACATTACTGATTTTTTTTTAAAATAAATAGTGTATAATATAGGATTAAACACTATCATTTTAATCTTGAATAAATACCCTTTTTACTTTGTACAGATTAATGTGGCACATTTAAACATTAATATGAATATCATAAGTAGGTGTTTCTTCTAAATGATCCAACAGATGCAATACTAATTGGTAAAGATCAAAAATTACATATCTTGAAAACAGTCCAACATGAAGAAAACTGCACGTTCTCGCAAAACAGTTTATGTTATGCCTCAACAATAACGTTTGCTGTAAAAAGTGTGCGACTCTTTCAACACGCTATGCTAGTGGGAGGTGGGTCCGCCAAAACATATATCTTGAGATCAAAGTATCATTAGATTAAATTTTCATTCCTGGATTTTGTACAGTTTTGGGTTTCAGAGATTAAAAAATAAAAAATAAAATCCCTCCATTGTGTAAATTCTATAACGTTATTTGTATTAAACAATGTGAGAGTTTTTTCTATTGGCATAAAGAGAAATCCTTATGTGACCTTTGACCTACTTACCCCAAAATATAATCAGATTGTCTTCCTAAAGTGATACATACTATTAGCAGGTTTGAAGTTCATACCTCAAATGATTACTAAGATATCGCAATTACAAGGCTTAAAACGCATTCATTAAAAAAAAAGTGGCAACAACCAAAGGAAATTGGAAATGCCCTTAAGGCTCCCTGCACCAAAAGCAGGCATGGTGTTAGGCCTTGTATGTGACAGAAGTAATTGTGAGGCAAAAGAAGCTGTGAAGGTGGAAGGATAGCGAGGATATCGTACATGTTCAAGAATGTCAAATGCAATCAAATCTATAAACGAAACTTAAAACAGAATTGGGTGTACAGAATCATGCTACTTGTATGACATCTCAGTATGACCCCCCCCCCCCCCCCCCTCCCACGCCCCATGCTAAAACAAAATACACTCAAATGTGAAGATGCAAGGAAATTTATAAAATTGACTTAATCTGTGGGAAAATCACAAATGAATGGAACACTGGATGTAGAATTAGGTGTATAGGATCATGCTACTTGTATAGCATCAACGTATGACCCCCGCCCATGATGATTATATGACTGAGAGTACGTCAACCATGATCACTGCTGTCAGTGAGACAGCCCCACATTTTGCAGGACTTTATCTGTTTCAAAGTATTGCAGACTGCTAGCCTCAACTTATCTTCACATTACTGATTTTTTTTTTAAATAAATAGTGTATAATATAGGATTAAACACTATCATTTTAATCTTGAATAAATACCCTTTTTACTTTGTACAGATTAATGTGGCACATTTAAACATTAATATGAATATCATAAGTAGGTGTTTCTTCTAAATGATCCAACAGATGCAATACTAATTGGTAAAGATCAAAAATTACATATCTTGAAAACAGTCCAACATGAAGAAAACTGCACGTTCTCGCAAAACAGTTTATGTTATGCCTCAACAATAACGTTTGCTGTAAAAAGTGTGTGACTCTTTCAACACTCTATGCTAGTGGGAGGTGGGTCCGCCAAAACATATATCTTGAGATCAAAGTATCATTAGATTAAATTTTCATTCCTGGATTTTGTACAGTTTTGGGTTTCAGAGATTAAAAAATAAAAAATAAAATCCCTCCATTGTGTAAATTCTATAACGTTATTTGTATTAAACAATGTGAGAGTTTTTTCTATTGGCATAAAGAGAAATCCTTATGTGACCTTTGACCTACTTACCCCAAAATATAATCAGATTGTCTTCCTAAAGTGATACATACTATTAGCAGGTTTGAAGTTCATACCTCAAATGATTACTAAGATATCGCAATTACAAGGCTTAAAACGCATTCATTAAAAAAAAAGTGGCAACAACCAAAGGAAATTGGAAATGCCCTTAAGGCTCCCTGCACCAAAAGCAGGCATGGTGTTAGGCCTTGTATGTGACAGAAGTAATTGTGAGGCAAAAAAAGCTGTGAAGGTGGAAGGATAGCGAGGATATCGTACATGTTCAAGAATGTCAAATGCAATCAAATCTATAAACGAAACTTAAAAACAGAATTGGGTGTACAGAATCATGCTACTTGTATGACATCTCAGTATGACCCCCCCCCCCTCCCCCTCCCACGCCCCATGCTAAAACAAAATACACTCAAATGTGAAGATGCAAGGAAATTTATAAAATTGACTTAATCTGTGGGAAAATCACAAATGAATGGAACACTGGATGTAGAATTAGGTGTATAGGATCATGCTACTTGTATAGCATCAACGTATGACCCCCGCCCATGATGATTATATGACTGAGAGTACGTCAACCATGATCACTGCTGTCAGTGAGACAGCCCCACATTCCCATTGCTGCTTTAATGTACTTACCACAATATGTAATTTCTTTCATAGCAGGTAATTAGCAGGCAAGTGGTTGTGTCTAAGGGTTGTATAACAGCTTCAATTGAGGCGAAGTGTCCCCAGTGCTGTCATCTGCACCAGAATCAGGCACGGTGTTTAATAGGACTTGTGACAGAGGTAATTGTGAGGCAAAAGAAGCTGCGAAGGTGGATGGATAGCGAGGATCTCCTACATCTTCAAGCATGTTTGGTTTCTGTTCATAATAGATGCAATATTAACATGAAATAACACTAATTTTAAGACAGCTAGCATTCAAATCAATGTGAAGATGCAATCAAATTCATAAACGTAACTTAAAACAGAATAGGGTGTACAGAATCATGCTACTTGTATGACATCAAAGTATGACCCCCCCCCCCCTCCCCCTCCCCCTCCCACGCCCCATGCTAAAACAAAATACACTCAAATGTGAAGATGCAAGGAAATTCATAAAATTGACTTAATCTCTGGGAAAATCACAAATGATTGGAACACTGGATGTAGAATTAGGTATATAGGATCATGCTACTTGTATAGCATCAACGTATGACCCCCGCCCCTGATGATTATACGACTGAGAGTACGTCAACTGTGGTCACTGCTGTCAGTGAGACAGCCCCACATTCCCATTGCTGCTTTAATGTACTTACCACAATATGTAATTTCTTTCATAGCAGGTAATTAGGAGGCAAGTGGTTGTGTCTAAGGGTTGAATAACAGCTTCAATTGAGGCGAAGTGTCCCCAGTGCTGTCATCTGCACCAGAATCGGGCACGGTGTTTGATAGGACTTGTGACAGAGGTAATTGTGAGGCAAAAGAAGCTGCGAAGGTTGATGGATAGCGAGGATCTTCTACATCTTCAAGCATGTTAGGTTTTCTGTTTGTATTAAAAAGATGCAATATGAAAATAAAATTAAAATATTGCTAAAACGGCATTCGATCACTCCAATTTGAAGATGCAAGCAAATTTATAAAATTGACTTAAATAATGTTTGGAAAAATCACAAATGATAGGAACCACTGGATGCAAAATTGGGTGCATAGGATCACCCTACTTGTATGGTGCAAAGTATAACCCCCCCCCCCCTCCCCTTATGGCTTATATTCATGACTGAGAGGTCAACCTTGATCACTGCTGTCAGTGTAAGGGTTGAATAACAGCTTCAATTGAGGGTTAGGGGGGGGGGGGCTAAGTTTTCAGAGGGGGGGGGGGGGTAGTAGTCTATAGAACCCTATAACAACATTCACTCTAATGTGAAGATGCAAGCAAATTTATAACACCACTGGGGAAATCGCAAATGATGGGAACTACGTACTACACCAATGCAGAATTAGGTGCATAGGATCATTACCCCGCCCCCCTCCCTCCCACTATAAATAGCTTTCCCTGAATTGTTCAAGTCAGTGCTTATTGTGTACTACTGTATACGCCCTTTGCTTGTTCGTATTGTTAGATTACAACAGTAATTACCAAAACAATAACATTTTTTTCTTCAAAAATAAAGTTGGGCCAGTGTATGATCCTAAGAAACAATTTTACCAAAAAAAAATTACATTGATAACTCATTTCAATGAAAACATATAAAATCTGATTGATTAAAATATAATGAAATTATAACATAAAGAACAATTAATATATTCCATCTAAAAAATATTCAGTGAAAAATCCTGGTAATTATGTGTTGATGGCCAAGAACATGCTGCCTGCTCCAAAATGCATCATCATTCCATTTTGCCATTTAATAGTCCCAAATAGAAAAATAGATAATGTTTGCATGGTATTTTTGTTCAAATCATATGTGATGTGTATTTTTAACAATGAGTTATTCCTATTATTCTCTATCTTTATGAAAAAGAAAAAAAATCATAATTGCAAATTACAATGGATTGGATGTGGCCCTTTTACTTGTCCTTGCATGGCCCTAGCTTGACTTCCTGCAGGGTACTTTGTGCCAAGTTATTTCTCTAAGAGTGGAATTGATGTGAGGAATATTGCCATTTTCAGTAGGGGCACTGGTCTGAGAATGAAGATTGTCCGCATAAACGAAAATATCCTGGTAAACGCGGACAAGTCTCGACCTAAAAAAATAAGGATTGTCTGCAATTTTCACGGACGTTTTTTCTTCTTCGGTGTTCTGCAGGTACAGGGTTCCTGATCCGCATGCTGGCAATTAATGCGAAAAACGGATTCCGCGTAATAAAATACCTCCAGTTCACCGTCTATACTTTCTATGGGTTGTCCGTCTTCCCTAGGATTTATTGTTCATGACGTGAAAGTCTCTGCGTAAGTGTAAAATGCATTATGGAGCATCATCGCGGAATCCGTTTTTCGCATCACCAACGCGCGGATCTGGAATCCGGATCCTTCATGAAAATGCGGATGATCCTTATTTTTCTGGATGCGAATGGTCTGCATTTACGAGGGTATTGTCGTTTATGCGGACTATGCTTATTCTCGTACTAGCACCCCTACTGATTTTGTGAATAAACCATTTTTTTTTCTTCGTGTAGGCCTATATAATCTACAGACATAACATGTGCAAGCATTGCGCACAATGAACCGTTAGGCTTTACTGTGCAGAGTCCTTGAATGAGTGGTGGAATGCCAAGAATGTGTAGACAATATACTAGTCATTTTGACTTTATAATAATTATTTTAAATGAAATACCTACATAGTACATTGGCTATAGCGCCAAACATGCCAAATGAGGAGAGTGAGCAGCACAAATAGCCGCAGTTTCATCAAGGTTTGCCCAAAATTTCTTTGAATTTTCTGTTGATCTAGATAGAGTCTATCATAAAGTCTATCGATGCGCAAACCCTAGTGAAACAAAGTGCAATGGAATAAAATCAAGGGGTAGTTTCTTCAGTTTTTCAACGCGATTTTGAGCTGTGAGTGTGAGTGTGAATCATCAAATTAAATAAGAGAACTGATTTTTTTAGGTTATTTAAACTGCAGTATGATTTTGAAGCATCATAATGATTCATGTTCAATATTCAATTGAACAATAATTTACATGTTCTCCTATTTATAATTTAGTGGGCCTAGATCTAGATCTAGATCTAGGCTACCGGTATTCGTTTTGTAGACCTAACTGTTATGCATGCCAGTGTGTGGAAAAGTAATTTGTTAGTTTAACTTAGTTAGACTGAGTTTCATGCGGTTGATACCGGTTAATTAATGGCTAGACCTTATGCATTGAAATTATAGGAGTGTGAAGTGGAATTTGGTATGCTCAAGTTGGATGAATTTTGATTGTACAACACTTTTTCGTAGAAAAATTGCCAACACACACACACAATTAACGATGGAATCACACACAGAAAAGTTTATATTTGGGACTAGATCTATTCATGAAATACAAAGGCAAATGTTTTTCAAACAATATCAGACTAGGCCTAACGTTAGTCCTAATCGATTATTCCTCTAAGATGAATATCTATAGACATATTTAAAACTTACGGTATACATTGTAGATATTTTTGGAGTGAAGACAAGGAACCACCAGCAGCATAGGCAAGGCTAAAAAGCTGCGCCGAACAACTGAAACTGTAGCTGATGCTAGCTGCAGGTACGGTATCTAGCTAGGCACTCTGGCGGGTCTAGCGGCGGCGCCGGCGGTCGACGCCAGTCCTGGGCGTACTGCAGAGAGCTAGAGCTAGCCCTGCCGGATCGCGTCGAGCTAGCTAGCCTTGCCAGGGCCGGACCCATGGGGAGCGTTGGGGTGCATGCCCCCTTTTCCTTCCGAAAAAACAGGGAAAAGCCCAGAATTTTCAAATAAATGTTCAGTTTACGCATTCAGAAATGCCTCAGAATGTACCATAAAGCATCTTATAGTTCATTTTTTTTTCCGGGGCCCTTTGGCCCCGTGTCCCATGCCGATATAACACTTCATGCCCCTCCTTTAAAAAAAAACTCTTGGATCCGCCGCTACAGCCGGTCGAGCATGGCATAGTCTGCCTAATGGTACGTACGCACGCGTATTCCGCACAAGCCTTCCACAGTAAGTTACTGTTACAGAATATAATCCAGAGGCGGTGATCTACAGTAGCTGAGTAGCGCGCGCGCGCTGGACGACTAGTTTTACAGTATCTTACTGGGTCATCAGTATAATCCAGGAGACAATATAGTTCCAGTACATAACTATTGCAACTATGTCACCTGGGTTACAGAATATATATTCTGCTCTGATATATACTGAGCGACTTTGGGTCACCTGCTTCGATACCTTACTGGCTCGATTATTGGTATCAGGTGGCTTTTCTCCCAAACTGACATTCAAAGAATGAGAAAACTCACATTGTAATTGTCAATTTTCCCTTTAGTCATTCTATTTTTGTAAATGGCGTCATACTTTATGAGGAACACATGTTTATTGAGGTCGTTTTGCCTTGAACAACCCTGGAGCAATACCAAATATAACTTTTCATTCCTTTATACTCCCCTAACAACAACCAAAACAGTGCAAAGGGACATGTTTAATAGGAAACGGCAGGTATAATAATAATACACTTCAGAAAAGTTGTTTTTCTGATTAGAAACCATAGTAGATACAATACTTAATCCCGATGTTATTTTGTCAAACAGAAGTAAAGAGCGGAACGGCATGTATCAATAGTATGCTATTCATAAAAATATTTAAAGGGGGAAAACTTTAGGAAACTAAACAACAACTTTCACATAAAAGGTGCTCATATGTAAACATTATGTTTCCTGGTTGATGTTTACACGGCCAGAGAGAGAGAGAGACATAGAGAGAGTGAGAGAGATGTGCGAGAGCAAAGTTCTTTTTGTGCCTCTCCCCTCCACACCTCCTTTTATCTTTATTACAAGGGCACCTAAAATGAAACACTTTTCTTTTCTCTTCGTTATTGAATTTGCTTTGTTTTTATCATGGGTCTGAAATTGTTCTGACTCGTCTGTTTATGTATAGGCAAAGGATGAAATGAGAGAGAGAGAGAGAGAGAGAACTCAAACTCAAAAGAAAAAGAAAAATGAATGTATACTGTGAATTTTTGTAATGATCAAAGAGAAACGAGAATGACTCGATTCGGTTGAAGATTGCATGCACTGCATATACAAATCAGCAGATGTGACTCAGTTTTTCAACCTCATGTAACACTTTGATGAATTTTTTACTATGCTTTTCTCCCAAACTGACATTCAAAGAATGAGAAAACTCACATTGTAATTGTCAATTTTCCCTTTAGTCATTCTATTTTTCTAAATGGCGTCATACTTTATGAGGAACACATGTTTATTGAGGTCGTTTTGCCTTGAACAACCCTGGAGCAATACCAAATATAACTTTTCATTCCTTTATACTCCCCTAACAACAACCAAAACAGTGCAAAGGGACATGTTTAATAGGAAACGGCAGGTATAATAATAATACACTTCAGAAAAGTTGTTTTTCTGATTAGAAACCATAGTAGATACAATACTTAATCCCGATGTTATTTTGTCAAACAGAAGTAAAGAGCGGAACGGCATGTATCAATAGTATGCTATTTATGAAAATATTCAAAGGGGGAAAACTTTAGAAAAATAAACCACAATTTTGACATAATAGGTGCTTGTATGTTTACATTTTGTTTCCTGGTTGATGTTTGCACAGTCAGAGAGAGAGTGAGAGAGAGATGTGCGAGAGCAAAGTTCTTTTCGTGCCTCTCCCCTCCCCATCTCCTTTTATCTTTATTTCAAGGGTACCTAAAATGAAACACTTTTCTTTTCTCTTCGTTATTGAATTTGTTTTGTTTTATGATGGGTCAGAAATTGTTCTGACTCGTATGTTTATGTATAGGCAAAGGATGAAATGAGAGAGAGAGAGAGAGAGAGAGAGAACTCAAAAGAAAAAGAAAAAGAAAAATGAATGTATACTGTGAAGTTTTGTAATGATCACAGAGAAACGAGGTTGACTCGATTTGGTTGAAGATTGCATGCACTGCATATACAAATCAGCAGATGTGACTCAGTTTTTCAACCATATGTAACATATACAAAAGGCTTGCGGGTGCACCATGTGAGAGAGAGGGAGGATTGAGGAGTCCTGAAAAAGGACTCTCGGTAATCTTTCTTGTGGATTTGTAGGCCTGAACAGGACTGTTTGGTATAGTCTTAAAAAAGAGTGTTGGTTATCTTTCTTAGCTTATATTTCTAAGGGGAGCTATAGCGCTTGGAGAGGATGAGTAGCGGGAGTGGCTCGACGCTTCGAACAGGTTGACTATCCGTCGTCAGGATAGTCAACCTCTCTCTCACATGGTGCACCCGCAAACCTTCTGTATATCTACATCACCATGCAAGCCGACATTTACAAGCAGTATGTAACATTTTGATTATTTTTTTTACTATGCTATTCTCCCAAACTGACATTCAAAGAATGAGAAAACTCATATTGCAATTGTCAATTTTCTCTTTAGTCATTCTATTTTTCTGAATGACGACATACTTGATGAGGTACACATAGTTATTGAGGTTGTGTTGCCCTGAACCATTATGGAGCAATGCCAAATATAATTTGTCATTCCTTTATACTTTCGTAACAAGAAAATTTGTAATAGGAAACTACGGGTATAGTCATAATGCACTTCGGAACAGTAATTTTCTGCTTATAAACCAATTAGATCTTTGACATAAAAGGTGCTCGTATGTAAACAATATGTTTCCTGGTTGATGTTTGCACGGCCAGAGAGAGAGAGAGAGAGAGAGCGGAGCTAGGAAAGGAGAGAGAGAGAGAGTGAAAGAGATGTGCGAGAGCAAAGTTCTTTTCGTGCCTCTCCCCTCCCCATCTCCTTTTATCTTTATTTCACGGGTACCTAAAATAAAACACTTTTCTTTTCTCTTCGTTATTGAATTTGTTTTGTTTTATGATGGGTCAGAAATTGTTCTGACTCGTATGTTTATGTATAGGCAAAGGATGAAATGAGAGACGGGGGGAGAGAGAGAAAAAACTCAAAAGAAGAAGAAAAAGAAAAATGAATGTATACTGTGAAGTTTTGTAATGATCAAAGAAAAACGAGGTTGACTCGATTCGGTTAAAGATTGCATGCACTGCATATACAAATCAGCAGATGTGACTCAGTTTTACAACTACTCCTTTAATGTCTTGTAATCCTCTTAATATGAAAGCACTTAGATGATTTGTTAACTATACTATTCTCCCAAACTGACATTCAAAGAATGAGAAAACTCATATTGCAATTGTCAACTTTCCCTTTGACATTCTATTTTTCTGAATGGCGACATACTTCATGATGTACACATAGTTATTGAGGTTGTGTTGCCTTAAACCATTCTGGAGCAATGCCAAATATAATTTGTCATTCCTTTATACTTTCATAACAAGAACCAAAACAGTGCAAAGGAACTATTCTGCTAGAAATTACTTTATTACCAGCCTACATATACTTTATTGATCTCTGAGAAGTGTCTAACTTTTGTTTTTAAGTGGGCCAAACATTGTGGAGCGTGTGTGCAGCGCTGTGTAACTGCACGGAAAAGGCGCTATATCAAATATCTTTTGGATTGGAATGGATCGGAAACGGCAGGTATAATAATAATGAACAGAAGAGTTTTTGTTTTCTGCTTATAAACCAATTAGATTCAATACTTTGATCCCGTTGTTTTTTGTCAAACAGAAGTAAAGAGCGGAACGGCATATATCAATAGTATGCTATTCATGAAAACTTTAGAAAAATAAAAGACAACTTTGACATAAAAGGTGCTGGTATGTATACATTATGTTTAGAGAGAGAGGAATAGAGAGAGAGAGAGAGCGAGAGAGAGAAAGAGAGAGAGAGAGCGGAGCTAGGGAGGGAGAGAGAGGGAGAGAGAGAGAGAGTGAGAGAGATGTGCGAGAGCAAAGTTCTTTTCGTGCCCCTCCCCTCCTCACCTCCGTTTATCTTTATTACAAGAGTACCTAAAATAAAACACTTTTCTTTTCTCTTCGTTATTGATCTTGTTTTGTTTTATGATGGGTCAGAAATTGTTCTGACTCGTATGTTTATGTATAGGCAAAGGATGAAATGAGAGACAGAGAGAGAGAGAGAGAACTCAAACTCAAACTCAGAAGAAAAATGAATGTATACTGTGAAGTTTTGTAATGATCAAAGAGAAACGAGGTTTTGCTGAAACCCGGAAGTGCATGTAGAGTCGGTTCTCTGTCCGTGACGTCACGAACGAGACTCATGGGCTCAGTGAGAGTGAATGGCAGTGATATCCCTACGTAAATGCTATCCTGTCAGAGCTTAGATTTGTTGTTGTTAAGGAGTATATTTGATGGATTTTCTGTTTTCATTTGAATGAAGAATAACGAAGCAACATTTTCCAGTCGCTGATTTCTTTTTATATCCTCATATTCACCTATTTGGTAGAGATTTAAGACGAGTTTACTGCTTGGGAAACAAGATTAGATCATGCACGTATGAATAGGCAGATGCATTATCTTGTCATCAGATAAGGTACAGGAGCAGTTTTGTAAAACGAATAGGCCTAGAACTATGGTAGTACTTATCATAGATGTGTGTGACAGCCTCAAAAAAGGATACAGTACCAGTTAAACATGTTATGTTGTAAAATATCAAACTTGAACGAGATCATGCAAGCGCGCTTCCTCTATAATATTTTGACAACGTCTAAGATTAGTGATCGAACGATTTTCATCCGCGAGTGATGCGGCTTTTGCACGAACGTTCATGAAGAGAGCAGAATCGGGATGTAAGACCAGGCCGCTGCTTAATGCGTGGCTTGCTTGTGATGTACGTGCGCTAGTTATATGTTTATCGGCAATTGCTAGAGAATGAAAGCGACGTTACCAGCTAAGAAAAACAACTAACAACAAAGACTTGCTCCTGACTACCGATGTCAGAATTG